TTTTTTTTTTTTTTTTTTTTTTTTTTTTTTTTTTTTTTTTTTTTTTTTTTAATGTCAAATATTTGACCTATACTTATGAAGCAAACAAGTGCGCGAAGTAGATCATTAATTGCACAAGTGCTAATGTTGTCAATCCATTGCACGAGTTCCGTATGCTATCACTCAGTGAACGAAGATTTTATAACTTCGAGTGTCTTAACACATTTATATGCATCGAAGTTCAAAAAGTGTAGTTGCAAGTGATTACATGCGCAATAAGTAAAACGCAAAGCATGCGTGAGTGACAATTGTTACTTTTTGGTCGATTTTATTAAACCATATGAATATCTATACTTTTGAAAGTCGATTTTCGGGTAAATGATAAATTGTATACTTACCGCAAACAGCACAAACAACCTAAACTTTTTATCTACTATCTGTAAGATTAGTTGCGGCTGGTTTATACTTAATTAAATGGATCTACTATAAGATAATATATTACATTACTATAATATATATAAGATAGTAATGATTATTTGGATCAGCGCCATCTATCGTTGCGGATTTCTGAACTAAAAAGTGGCCCTAAACTTTTCAGCCTGAGCTTTAGCGCGTAGAGCCATTTAGTCACTTATAAACCAGCCGCAACTTATGTGGTAGCTATAAAATGAAAAAATAATGATACATGTGTTTTTGGCGGCAAGTTAACAATCTATCTTTTGCTCGAAAATTTATCTTCAAAAGTATAAATACGTAAGAGGTCGATTTTTTGTAAAAAATAAGATTGTTAACTTGCCGCCAAAAACGCATGTATAGTAATGTAATATATTATCTTATAGTAGATCCATTTAATTGGGTATAAACCAGCCGCAACTAATCTTACAGATAGTAGATAAAAAGTTTAGGTTGTTTGTGCTGTTTGCGGCAAGTATACAATTTATCTTTTATCCGAAAATTGACCGCCAAAATAAAAGTCATTAAATTCAAAAAAATTCTTTTATTTTCTCAAGATATCTTATTGTATAGATGTCTTGTAGACTTATAATTTCTTTCTGAAAGACATCTTTAGGAAATGTTACCTCTGAAATTCCTTAAAGATTTCTTTCAGATGGCCAGCACAGCGTGCTCCTGAGATCGTCTCCAGACTCCAGACCATCAGTGACAATAGTGACATTAATTTAATATATATAATACTTGACTCTAATAAGAGATCGTCTGCTCTTGTGACATATATATATACGATATGCATGAAAACCAAACAACTATAAGTATATTTTTGGAACAGTCGTTTGTATAGTACTCGTTTTCTCTCGTTTATTGTCGTGAGTCGTGAGTCTCGACGCGTAATTACATATATACTAATGTATTGATATGTTTATATTGACAACACAAGTTACAATGTTATGCAAAGCAAGGAAAAAAGACGACGACGGCAGTGTAATTACTGTATAATTGTGTAAGGAATGCTCATAGGTACTCAAGTGTGTATCTAAAATTACCCGATGACGACAGCGATTAACGAGTCTTGGAGAAAATTAGTAGACCGAAAGATCTGACGACCGATCCAAACGATAGTGATTTAAGACAGTGCGTGTAGGGCTAGGACGGATAAGTTAAGTGACGCCTGAGCGTGGGCTAAAGGCTCCTGCCAGGAGTGTTTTTTTCAACTCTTGTACATTTAAAATATAGACCTGTCAGGTGAAAACATACGCTATCCCACTTGCCTGCTGCGGCAGCGTATACCACCTTGGTGTCATTAAGTATAGCCTCGCTGGAGAGAGACGAGCTCTCGTGGGTATAATGCAGTCGTCGACGAGCTGAGTGAGTCGTCGGCTTGGCCTTGCCTTGCCTCAACATCGAACCTCGATACTTGCACCCCTGGTTATATCCTACGTCTATCTACCGGAAATAACGAAAGCAGGATGTTTAGTAATGACCTTGCTCATATTTTTCACTACGTTGATGCTGCAACGTTAATTACAACGCGTCCCTTCGACTAACCGGGCTGTCTCTTTGATTCTTGTTGCAGGCTGCTGCTGGTGCTGTTCTGCTCTACGACCAAGGTACAAACGTCTGGTGGACAATATTTTTCCTGTAAATCCTCAGGTAAGCTTGCCTTGCATTCAGTTCACTTTGGCAATTCATGCATTTTAATTTTGTCAAGGCTACTCGCTTGCACGTACACTTATGCTGCATCTACAATTATCAACTGTACACTTATGTTAATTTAAGGCCTTTATTTTTATTAGTCGCGGCTATAGTCGATTGATTAAATTGATACCTTATTAAAACTTTTTCAGGATGGGTTAATCAAAAATAATATGGAAAAACTTATGTTTTATTCCCTAAGTAAGCCAGAAAAACTTGATAGAATCGGAGAGTACTTGTTTCAAACAGCTTCCAGAGATATTTCAAGGTGAGTTTAATAATTGTTATGTAACATCACTTGTTTTCCTGTACACCCATGATTTTCATATTTTTTCCACATTCAGGCGTCGAAATGGATTTGTTGTTATTGCTATGGAGGCTATGGATCAATTACTGTCTGCTTGCCATGCACAAATTTTAAATTTATTTGTAGAAAGTTTTTTAAAAATGGTTCAAAAGCTGCTGGAGTCTACAGATCCTCAGTTACAGATATTAGCTACACAGTCAGTGAGTATTATCTTGTCTTTTGTTCATCAGTTGGCGTGAAGAACCCATTCCTGCTAATATCAATAACTAACAAAATTTGGTGTACTAACATACTGTTGATGCAAAGTTGCTTAGCGGGTTTTGCTACAAGGTTGATTGTACTACCAAAAGATCATCATATATACATTATTTCAGTTGAACAAAATGCTTTCCTCCCCCAGTTTGTTAGGTTTGCCAACATCGAGGAGGACACGCCGTCTTATCACACACGTTACGATTTCTTTGTATCAAAATACTCTTCGATGTGCCACTCCAACAACGACGATGCCACAGTTCGAAAACAGATTCGGCTTGCAGGAATTCAAGGACTGCAGGTTATTTATATACATTTTAATGTGCCGACAATTCGCATTGTGCACTAATTATTTCTACTTTCATCTAGGGTGTTGTGAGAAAAACTGTAGCCGACGACCTCGTGGAAAATATTTGGAACATGGTGCACATGGATAAAATAGTACCGTCATTGCTGTTTAACATGCAAAGTGCCAAGTAAGAACTGTAAATTTATTTTATTTCGATAGTTTGTAAATCTGCCACGATTATTTCATCGACATAATATAATTTTAGATATTCTAATAAGGATAGCACTACTCCAGAGAGTCCCACTGAGGAGAGATCAGATCCACCACAATTCGCAGAAACTTGTATGAGAGAATTAGTAGGCAGAGCGTCATTTGGTCACATTATATGTGTAATAAAACCCGTGCTCAAACATTTGGATAATCATAATCTGTGGGTCCCAAATTATTTTGCAATACACACGTTTAAAATTATAATGTTTTCCATTCAGGTATTTGTCCGACTAGTTTATGCATAAAATGAATCATTAACGCATTTCATACTTAAAATATCTAATTTCAACACAGTCACAGTATTCATACACAGTTGTCGCTGCTTTGATAAATCATTTAGACGAGCACTCTCAATCTTCCCCGAAAATTCGCACGAGCATAGCGGATACGTTGTCAAAAATTATTTCCATAGCTGCTGGTGAAAGCGTTGGTAAGTCCCGATGTTTCTTTATTCGTCAAAGACGAATGATGCATTAATTGTGCAAATACAAGCAGACATATGTTGTTTATGCTAACAAAACTATTTCTTTAAAAGGGCCTTCTGTTCTGGAAACCATCAATTCCTTGCTGATCCAGCTACGTCTTAATGTATCTAGAAATCAGTCATCCAGTAGTGACGAGCAATCTTATCAAGAAGCATTAATTAATGCTCTCGGTGAATTTGCTAATCATCTGCCAAACTACCAAAAAATTGAAATCATGGAGTTCATCATGAGCAAAGTTCCATATGGCGAGCCCGAATCTGTATCATCTGCTGGGAAAGGAGACGTATTGCTTCAGAGTATACTACTCAAATCTCTGTTGAAAGTAAAACTCATTCCGTTTAAATACTTGAGTAATATAAAGGTGTGACTTTTCTAATCAATTTTACTTGTAGGTTGGTACAAAATACCAGACCAATCTGTTGAATTCAACATTCCCACCAAGTTTTCTTCAACCACTGTTGCGCATGTCTCTAGCTTCAGATGCTGAAATGAGACTGTTGGTTCAGAAAATTTTCCATACTCTAATAGACAAACATAAAAATATAGCAAAATTGGCTAAACCAACGTAATGAATGCACATTCATTCTTTTATACAAAATTTATTTAATTATAGTTATTACAGAGTATTTCATTTTTTTTATTTTAGAGTAAACTTCATAGAACTAGATCTTGCAGTTGAAAAATCATCTAGGACGGATATTATATTTATCAGAAAGCATGGACCAGAAATATATATGGCATTGTACGAGTCTTTGGAACATCCAAACAATAGGGTTGATAATGTTGAATCTATTTATACAACACTGGCTTTGTTGACCGTTGAGATTGGCTGCGAAGAAACTGTTCTTGAATTATTAAGGCTTGTTATGAGTATACAAGACCTTTCCCTTACGAGTTCTCAGATTACTACTCCAATCAAATTCAATTTACACGCAATAGTTATAAGTTTAATGGTATTAATAGCCAACATTTGTAACATACCGACTCTGATAGATTATGCTAAAAAGGTAGCATCATATAATACATTTGATAAAAAATGTTAAACTTATAAGTTGATTTTTTTTTTTTCAATATTTAACTTCTATTTTACTTTTTTACCATAGATTGTACAAGCTCGACGTAAGGAGGCACCACACCTGTTGCCTGATCTTCGTTCACAATATGATGGACTACAATCTCATAAGATTCCAACTTCTCTACTTATAGATCAAACTATAGTCACTGAATGCTTGAAGGGTGCAGGTTTGGAGGCTGGCAAATTGCAGCAAGGATCTGTTTACAACAGTTCTTTACAGCATAGGTAAAGAAACAGCTTGTTTTTTCTATACCGCATTTTTTTTCAAAATTGAGAAACTATAGTTCTAGTGTTCTATTTTTTTCTCTAAATTGTTGATATCAAATAATTAATCACAAGCAATGAATACATTTCATAGTATTTTATGTATTTAGGCATTCATGGGTTGATAGTGCTGGACGAAGCTCTCTGGGTGATATCAATGGTGGAAATAATGAGTTGGATAGTGCTGGATCATCTCCTGGTGTTCAAAGGGTATACCATTTTATTATTTTAATAAAGCAAGTAGTTACATTTTTAATTTTTTTTTCTATTTATTTATAGAAATTACCTGGAGAGGAACTAACATTCGATAGTATGAAGAGAATATTAACAGAAAACGTAAACACGCAAGGAGTAGAAGATGAAAAAAGAGCCCAATTTTCCCAGTTGTTTAGGAGTGCTCCATTTCAAGATCTTGTTAAAAAAACGCAACCAAAGGTAATTCATCAATATTAGTGAAAGCATAATTTCAATTTTCGATTACCGTTCAAAATTATATAAAGAATGAAATTTCTAAATTACAGCACGACGTTCTGCAAAGCAAGTTATCTGAGATTTTCAGTGCTTTGATGATCGAACCAAGATGTCCATCAGTTCCTGTAGGAACTCCATCAGACGCTAAACCAAGTCAAACGCCAGCTTATGAAGTACATTTTCCGGAATTGTTTGTATATTAATTTTTTATTTTTTAAATTTAATACTAAAGCTAAAAATTTAAGCTCTTGTTGAACAGTAGTAGCTTATTAGATAAATTTTATTTATGGCTATCAATGGAATTATGGTGTCAAGTTTAACTGTAAATACAGTACATACTAACTGTGATTTTTTAAATGAAATATTTGTTGTTTCTTAATAATCGGTTTTTAAAACAATGTGACATACTTAGCCATTTGTGATTTTTTTTATCTTTAAAAAGTATTAACTTAAATTACTTTAATTTAAAAGAAATAAAGTAAAGGTGAATTAATTCGATTGTCTTTGAATATCCTTTGATTCCTAAGCTCCTGATAAATGTCTACTTGATTTAATCTTTCAATCAATCATACGTTTTTAAAGTTTTTTTGTAATTCGTTTTTCAATAGTTTAATATACGTTTTTATTACTAGTTTATTAATCATTTCAAGTCATACTGAAAAAAATGTTTTCATGCAGCTGTAATTGGCGTCAAAGTTATGTTTAAAAAAAATGCAATGATCCAAACAAAAATCACACAGTCAAATAAATTCAATTCGTAATGTTGACAGAAAAGTTTTTATTTTGGTTGTATAGTGAGAAGTACACAAGTGGTTTAGAGTTACAAAGTTTAGGTAGCTTAGAATTCGTACAAAGATTTAAGTAAGCTGGTATCAAATGTCTTTCTAAATTTAAATGGAATGGATACAACTGCTAAAAATTTGAAAGGCTTTTGGTTTATTACAATAAATTTGTGTTACAAATTGAAGAGGTGAAGGTCATCTATGTTTAATAACTTGCTATTACAAAAACTTACGAGTAACTAGTAGCTTCGACTGCGTAGATAATGGACTTGTTTTGTATTTTATAAAACATTCTAAACTTTGACATCTAAGTAAAAACTTATATTTTAGAGGTTTTGTAAATAAATCAATTGAATGAATATCATCTTGTACAGTGTGCCATCTGCCTTAAATCTACTTTTTGCTTAGATTCTTAAGATTTTAAGCGTTATTTAATTGTCTGGTGCCACGATGAAAAGTTTTGGTCAGTTTGGTGTGTCGTAATGGTTGCTTCATGGCTCGACCTTCAGTAGTTCAACATCAAAAATAAGGGTAGCATTTGGTGGAATAGTGTATTTTCATTAAGGAAAACATAAGTAGAACCATTATGAGAATTGGTAAGTCTCCGTTTAGTGTCCATGTAGAAAAAACAGACCAAGTCTATTATATCCGGTACAGATGATTCATTTAGCATTTAAAGGCCTGTTTCCGTGTTAGCCTGGAACTTCTCTTTAAAGTCCTTACAAGCTCGCGCGTCCATGGACTTTCGTCAACTAGTGGTTGTTTTTCATTCTTTGTCAAGAATGAACAGATTATAATAATAAATTAATGAGTATACTACTCAAATCTCTGTTGAAAGCCAGCACAGCGTGCTCCTGAGATCGTCTCCAGACTCCAGACCATCAGTGACAATAGTGACATTAATTTAATATATATAATACTTGACTCTAATAAGAGATCNAACTAGTGGTTGTTTTTCATTCTTTGTCAAGAATGAACAGATTATAATAATAAATTAATAAATAATTTATATAACTAATCACAACACACAGCATTGGGCTGACGGGAGTCCATGGAATAGCTGGGTGGACGCAATTGTTAACTTTCCAGGTCACTGGCATGAACATTTTACTAAGGAGCTTATAGTAACTTGTTTACGGGAATTTCCAGACCTCCACATGCCAAATAAACCATCTGTAGAGAAGATAACACACGGGATCTGTTTTCCACTTTTCTGTTACCTTGTACATTTATCTACACAGACATTTAACGAAGGTATCTGAGCATACACTGGTGTAAAAAATATGAAGCATAAAAAGGATATACGCCAGGGTGTCCTCGTGCGCCGTAGGCAACATCGGGTGTACAGGTCAGCTTAGCCCGTTCTCCAACGCTCATCTGAGCAACACCTTCATCCCAGCCCTTGATCACCTCATTTTTACCAATTTTGAACTTAAAAACCTTTTGCCGATCCCTGCTCGAATCAAATTTCTTTCCATTGGTAAGGGTACCTGTACTCATGGAACAATCAAGATTACATTTTAGAGCCACTTCAAAATATTACCTGTTAACTTGGATTAAAAAATTGCTTGATCAACACACCTATGTAGTGTACAACCACAGTTTGGCCTGTCTTTGGGTAGGTTTCTCCTGGAAGAAAAAGTCTCAAGTTTTTCATTTGCCTAAATGAGTAAGTACATGGCTCGGGTGGAGTGGAAAAGCAAAGGTTTGAGGCACCAGCAAAAGAGATAAAAACAAAAAATAACAACTAAATCGCATAGTACGAGGCTCAGGAGGGAAAGACAAACGTAACCAAACAGAAATGCACGAGGATTCAGAGTGGGGTGGAGGAAAGGGCACAAGTGCAGATGGGGTAGGTAGTAGATACCTAGTTACTATAAAAATAAAAGCGAGCTATCTGCGTAAAAAGCTGGTATTCTCTGTTTTTATAATAATATATACGGCCCATACAATATATGACGCAGCCATTCAATAGCAGGGTGGGATATAGGTATAGGTAAGTATGCGCGCATGCAGAGAGGACCGCTGCAGGGGGGTGCTGATAATGACTTAGGAGAAGTAAGATGGCACACACGTATACATCATGAGATACTCCGGGTAAGATATAATCGGTACTCACCGTCTCCGGGGGATAGGGTCTGAACGATCACACCCATGATTGCTATACTGCTATTTAGATTAAGGGCTGCTTAACTTAACTCCGTGTAGTCACTGTATGCGAGTATATATACTTATGCGTCTGCAAAAATAGGCCAAAGCTTAGCGCCTGTATCCTATATATAGATAGAATGTTCGGCTTGCGATCTCGTGCACACGCATATAATATAATATACCTATGAAGATTAAAGATGAGAGAAAAGGCGAGTGGCATGAAAAAAAAGATTCTAAATATTTAAAATCTTACTCGGCCGCCGGCTACCGGCAACCTGTGGGGATTAGAGTTACACTTACTTACTTCAAATGCAAAGCTTGGTAATCAATTCGCCGATATGATGATTTTATTTTAATTAATAGTGATAATACCTACTAACTATGGAAGATAGAAAAGCCGTCGCCAGTCGCTTCACTGCTTAGGTATATAGCTCTCAGATACTCACTCAGAGCTCGACGATAATGTGCATTTTCCCTGTGCAGTGTGCACGTTACACAATATACATACATACATATATATATATATATATGTATGTATGTATATTGTGTAACGTGCACACTGCACAGGGAAAATGCACATTATCGTCGAGCTCTGAGTGAGTATCTGAGAGCTATATACCTAAGCAGTGAAGCGACTGGCGACGGCTTTTCTATCTTCCATAGTTAGTAGGTATTATCACTATTAATTAAAATAAAATCATCATATCGGCGAATTGATTACCAAGCTTTGCATTTGAAGTAAGTAAGTGTAACTCTAATCCCCACNATATATATATTTATATATATATATCGTTGTCGGTATGTAAGGATTCCGTGCCGCCTTTGGGTGTTTTCCGCAACCGTCACCAGCTATTATTATTAATCAGTCGAAAAGAGACAACCGAAGAAAAAAGGTCTTAAAAAGAAGCAGTCACACGAAGAGTCTCCTAGGAATGAAGCATTGGATCTCACTTGATCAGAGAAGGTTGGGTTCTTTGTTTATTTATAACACTTAAAATTTACATCTCTGTAATAAATGTATTTTTCAATTAGTGAGATCCAATGCTCCATTCCTAGGAGACTCTTCCTGTGACTGCTTCTTTTTAAGACCTTTTTTCTTCGGTTGTCTCTTTTCGACTGATTAATTTACGTGTATATTTGATCGTGATTTACGATTTCTGTAACACAAATTTTGTTATGTACATATTATATAAGTTAACTGTTTATTGGAAATCTAAAGTTGAAGGGCTGTTCTTTCATTAGTTAATGGTAAAAGGTCAAGAGTATTGTAATTTTGTAAATATTGTCGATTTTATGAGCCATATAAGATAAGTAGAATATTGATGGTTTTGGAGG